GAGAATAAATCGGAGAAAGAAAATGAAAATGCGAATAAATGAGTGCACAAATGTAAAAAAAAAAGTGAGAGAGAGAGAAAGAGAGAGAGGAGGAAAGGAGTGTAAGTAACGAAAAGAGAGGTGAACTTCCTCGCGCTGCCATTGACCCTAGCGCGGACTTTCGCCGGTACGTGTTGTACATATATATACATGTATTTGTGTGTATGTACATGTACCGGTTGAGCGAGATCGTGGCGTGGCCCCGCTACCGATCACCGCAGCTCTACATATTACACCCCTTTTTCTTTTTTATCTTTGAAAGCTCACACATGTAGATCTTCGATTGTATGCTCACCGCGTTTACTTCTCGGTCTCGTCAAACACCGCCAAGGACTCGTCCGACGTTTGACAAGTGGACCGCGACTCCGCGCTATTAGAATCGGCGTTAATGGCCCACAAGCAACGAAAACGACAGGAAGGTTACCATCGTTGTAATTATAAACACAGGTGTGTGTGTGTGTGTACAAACGCAATGCCCGAAGCTAAAACGCGTTGTAAGTAAAATGCACGTGTGGGTACGTATGGATGTACACTTGCAGTGGCACATATCATACAGAGCCTCCTGCAGCTTCCCTGATGTCAGCCGACACCTTTCACCGACCGCCGAAACCGAAACTTGTTTCACGACTCCTCGCGGTACCTATATATAGAATATATATATATATATATGTATACTCATACTGTACACGAGGGGGTGGCGAATTTCGACGAGAGGAGGCAGCTTTGCCCCCATTGTCCGCCGATGTGCCATAAGTGTATACACCATATAAATCTATACTAATAGAAAAGAAAAGAAAAAAAAAAAAAAAAAAAAATAGTGTTGCGATCGATCGCGCGTGAGTTTCGAAATTTGGCAAAGCATCATCGTCATCATCATCGGTCGATCTCGCGAGCGCGCGCGTGTTTATACATATACATCTGGGTCAGCGGGAAAACGGGTCGAGCAGCTGCTCGCACGTATACGCGCGCACACGCGAGATCGCCGGTATACCTACATGTATATATATGTGTGTGTGTGTGTGTGTGTGTGTGTGTGTGTACACAAAATACGGTGGTTACTTCATTGGCAAAAAGTACAACGCTTCTCGATTTCACGGTCCGATGGCCAATTCATTTGAGCCGAAAGAATGCGAAAGTCCCTGATGGGTATTCGAGTATCCTCCTTCTCTCCCTCTTTTTTTGGTTGCTCGATCGGACGTGTCTTTTAATCTTTTTTTCTTTTTTTTTTTTTTTTGGTTCGCGCGCGTGTGATGCGTGCGTTTTCGGAAATAAGCCACCGCGTTGTACGTAAGTTAATCCTGTGCGTACAATATATATATAGGTCCATACGTGTACTCGTTGAGACGGTCACCTGTCTAAAATAAAGACAATTCCTACGTAAAGGACGCTGTATTTTATTTTATTTTATTTTATGTAAATATGTAAAAAAAAAAACAACCATCAATGTTTACGAATTGAAATATTTATGAAAATGAGGTAACCAGACCGAGGACGAATGGCTAATTAATTAATGCGATAACGCCACGAGTTTTGGCCTGTGGTCTCTCTTTTGATTTACGTGTCACGCCAAACGAGGTGATTATCATGCACGTATACACATAACTAAACGGCCCGTAAAATTGTAGGTATATACTTTCATTGTAACATTGTTGACGATTTTTTCGCACCTATATACCTAAAATTCGGAGAAAGCCACATAGCTGTGGCAAATTGTTTTTAGATGGGTTTTTTTTTACATTTCGTTACTAAGTAGTGCCTTGCTGCTGATTAATTACGAGGCATCGAGAGCAGTATCAATATTTGATTTTTTAATTTTACGTAAACTCGATGTTTTAAGTTCACTATTTGCCATATTAAGTCATCCACTTGTGTATCTATAAATGCACAAGTGGGGAAAAACGACACGTAACCAAAGTGCCTGTCATTGTCTGTAAAATCTTTCACGATAAGCAAGAATTATTTCACGAGCGAAAAATCTAGCCTCATTACCGAAAAAAAAAAAGTGTAGGGTAAAATTTCGAAAGTGAAAACAATTTGTTAATGATTTGTTACTTAGTTTTTTACTATAGCAGCAGAAAATAAAGATCGACGAGCCGATGGAAAAAATAATTTTTAATTTTCCTCCCCGTATAATTTTAGCGTTTTCGTGCCTTAGTGGAAACCATCGTCCGTATAATATACAATTTTTATAGCATCGTTGCACGTAGATACATACGCGCAGGCATTTATACCATGCGATATATATTGCGCAAGCTCGTTTTCGATTGAATTATTTTTTCGGAATGCGGAAAATGGTACCCTTAATTTATGAATAAATAATAATCACGGCAGCCAGACGCCAAACAATTTTCAAGAAAAAAAAAAAAAAAAAAGAAAAAGACAACTGCAGCGAAGCAACGCACTCGTAATTTACACGTTGCGCGTTTAACTATTGCGAAATCGCGCAAGTATATAATATACGGACAAAGAATCGTTTACTCGAGTCGATTGAATTGTTACAACGCAACGCACCAACGTCTTCATTTACGCGACGCTTCAAAACTTATCCAGGAAAATCGTAAATCATATACTATATATTATAATATCCCTTCACGTTTGTTTAATATTACATAAGCAAATTTATGTATGTATAAAATGATACAAATAGGCAAATAAAGTGGATCTGGAGCCTAGAATTATTTTAGTATACATAAACTTTCACTGGCCGACTAGCGCCCGAGCGCTGGAGGAAGAAAAAAAAAAAGTGCTAAAAATCCTACCCTGGCAGGGCTTTTTACTTCACCGTGGAAGCTTGCTTCGATCCGCGTAAAAGCTCGCCTCGGTCACCTCGGCATCAACTGACCGAGAGAGGGGGGCAGGAAGAGAGGTGATCTGCGCTCCTTGCAAAAGTCCACAGTATTATATGTAACAACTAACAGGTATATATATATACTATCAATACAAGCATAGTGGCGCTGTGCAAAATGCGCGGTCGGCGGGTCGCTCTTGCCGATGCCCGAAGAATCATCGGCGCACTTACGTAAGATGCGTTCATCGAGAAAGCTAATTTTTTTTTTTCCCATCCCCCCCCCCATCTCTCTTTTCTCCTTTCTCTCTCCGCGACCCCCTCTGTGTCCGTCATTGATCGGTCCGATATATGCGCGTGTATGGGTATTTATTTGCCTTCTAATACGTTGTCGGTACAATATCAGGTATATTATACACGCATATACAAGTATTTCGACAAAGAGGAAATGAAAATGCGATATAACCGCCGTAAGAGAGGAATTTCAGCTCCGGGTCCGAACAACGACTCGATCCCGGTATACCGATCGTATATAACACATACTTACCGATATACATCTCTAATCGTTACGCGCGCCCATCAGTATGGACGTGTATGATATGCTCGCTCGATAAATTAAAAGATCTCGTCAAGCTGAATTACGATCGCGCGGAATAAAAAAGACTTGGCTAAAGAAAAAGCCCCACCGTACGTTCGACAAACATACGTATACATATATATACCACCACATCTTATGTGATCGCCGGTCGAGGGGGCAATGCAATTATCATTAGCTCAGTTTAGAGTCTCGATTCTCGATCACTTCTTGCGCGCTCACGAGAGATACATGTAATATATTATACAGGGATGTGTATGCTTTACTCGCTATACATATATGGCTGCAAGAGAGTTCCTGATATATGCTAATAAAATGTGAAAGTGTATACACTTACGTACATATGCACACGCGGTCATCTCTCTCTCTCTGGTCATCCTTGTTATGCGCGCGTGTGGATATGCACCTATTACATCGTTGAACTCCCGTGTCACATAAATATATATGCATGGAGCGTTATTTTACGATGGACGGTTTCAAGCGCGACATGTTTTTTAACAGGTATATTTGCGCCTGTACATTGTTTGCAGTGAAATGTATCAACGAACTCTGAAGATTTTCTGAATATTATTTTCCAAACTATGCGAGTGCTGTAAAAAAAAAATCCACGCATATTTTCTTACGGTCAGGAAGTGCTGTTAGTTGTTGGCTGCCTCTGGATCAATACTTATAATTAATAGACGCATGCGTGCCCATCCTGGGATAAACCATGTAGTAATGATAACACAGCCCATAAGACTGAAAAGTAAAAATATGAGGAGAGTAATATAGGAAAATAAATGTTGTGGAAATAGAAGGTGCATCGGAGAGAAAAGCCGAGGGTTCGCGCGTGCAGACAAACTGCACACACGCGGGATCGTGGGAAGAAGAGAGTCATCCGGACGCAACTGCAGCAGAGAGCGCTATGCGGGTATAGGTGAGGTAGGTACACGGTGAAAGTTCAGCTCTTGTGCCAAAGTCTCCTTGTGACTTGATAGGTATGGGTCCGAAGCTGCTTGCGCGTCTATACCTATGGGTGCCGGCTGAGAAAACTCCATGCACGTATTACATACAATACAGAAGTCGATAGCATCTTCCTGGAAGCCGTACGGCCTTTACGTGTTTGCGAAAACACGGAATTATGGTATTTTCTTGGGCACACACAAATAATATAAGTATGGGTGTACTTAACTTCGTCCGCTTTCCGAACTCGATCAACTGAACCAAAAGTATATAAGTATATAATTATACTTTCCACGCGTAACACATTAATTTTTTGAGCGTAATATGAGTAGGTAATAATACTCATATCCATCCCAACGATTTAGCGGCCTTTAAACATCGTATTATAGAATATCAAACTAAATGACAGACAATTTTGAAATTTTTTTTCGAGATCTCACTAAAAAAGTAGTTTGTAAACATTGTAACTGGCCGTAATTACGCGCGCCGAGTATTGTCATACAATTACTGCAGTAGGTACGGAAGAGATCTCTATTTCTTATTGTAGATATTATTCACCGACTGTTGGTTTATCTAATTTGGGGATTTCTGACTTCGTGACGGTTGATAATAATTTTAATCAAAAAAGGATCTCTCATAATGAATTCAGGGGGTGTTTACATATTTAGTAGTGGGTGACAGTGAAGATATAATATTTTGTTATTCCGATTTAATTAACAGCTATTGTCGCAGCTGCATCACTGTTAATTAGACAACGATTGAACAGTTAGCTCACGCGAGTGACAGCGGCGTATAAAAATAAAATAAAAGGAAATCAAGTCTGTTACCGTGAGTGCAGTCATCAAGGAAAAAAGTTACTTGTGTATCTTATTACTTTTTCCTAATGTCATAAATAAATTACAATAATGATATTGTTCTCTTAAAAAAGATGGTCTCAATCGAAAGAGTTTCCGAACAAACTGGATATCTGATGCTCACTGTGGATGGAGCAGTTCTGACAGTATGTACAATCACTTAGTCACCATCTTTTATTTACTTTGCACTTATAACTTTAATTTTCCAGTCTAGCGGCGAACTGGAAAATGATGAGAGAATCGCCAATATCGTGACCAATTTGATCACTCTGACGGACAAACTGGATCCCAAAGCTTTTTCATCCCACGAAGGTTTTGACAACATATCAATCGTTTACGATGATCACTGTTATATTATTTGTTTGTCAAACAAAAAAGTTCACGTTGTCAAGAAAAATTTAATCAAAGACGACTCAATCATGTCCACCTCAAATGAGCAGTTGATCGACATATAATTGTTCGTTTTGGATTACTGGAATTATTTTATGACTGTTGTGATATATATCTTTAAATTTTGCAAATTTAATGCAGTATAGTGTATTTTTTTATACATCTTTATTATAGTCTATATAAAATTTTTTCAACAATATTATGGTGTTATTTATTTACATATTTACAATACTGTGAAATCAATTGTAAGTGCTAAGAATCACTTTCTGAACTTGTATTGTCATAATGCACGAGCGATGTTACACTAATGGACTTGCTGCTACTGCAACTGGAAGTACTGGGAGTACTAGGACTAGATAGTGCTGGTACAGAGGGCAATAAAATTTTTTTACTTTTGCATTTATCTCCTAAACTGAAACGGCTTTTTGACTTTTTTTTCGACTGTGCAATAGAAACCAGCTGCTTTAGAGGCAAAGCTTTGTTTTTCGCATCTGCAACACAACTATGTTAAATTTTGTTTTTTTGTAAACTTTTAGTAAGTAAATTTTACAACACCCATACTTTTCATTTTATGCTGAGATAATAATTTTGCTAATCTTATGTCATCTTCATGTTCATCAACTAAATCAATATTGATTCCTGTTTTATTCAAAAATTCTTGATTCATAGCTGATTTATTTTGTATTTCTTTTTTCTTATCCTGCAAGCATGAAGATGTAAGGGATATTAATAAAACTATAAATTGTTGAAAGATTAAGGCAAATAGTATTACATTACCCTGAACAAAGATCTAAGCGTGCAATTCGAAGTATAATCATCTTTCCATAAAGTTTCATTCACAGCAATAGCGCTTTCTAGTGCATTTGCTCTAGTTTTGGCAACTTTTTTATCCTCCAGTGAATGTTCTAATTTATACATGGCATCATCATACAATCTCCGAGAAACTTCTTTTGTCTCTGGAACTACTTGCTCATTTTCTGTGGGATCCCATCTATTTTCTTGTCTTCTGGCTCCACTAATAACCAAGTAGTCCAAGTTCTGAAAAACATTAAAGAGAACATGGAATTTCTACGTGTTGAAAGGTTTTCAACATATGGAAAAATAAGGGCTAGAAGAGAAAAACATACCCCTGGATCAGTTTTTATTTCAAAGTGATTATCGCACAAATGGCATTTCATACGAAATTGATAAACAGGAGTACTATAGTACATTCCAACTTTCTTTTTTTCTGCATTGTATCGGACTCCCATTCCAATGTGATTTCCACATCCATCACACCAAATGTTGAATGGCATTTCAAATCGTATAATTAAAATACCTAAATGAAGCTTGCGGGCTCGTTCCCGCAAAGCATGAGTACCTTGGAATTTGTTTATTCCTCCGAATTTAGGATCGTAATCCGGAGGATAGTAAAGGTTTTGTCCTTTGCGTTCACCCATTTTTCTGCAATATAAAAAACATTCTCACATATATACTTTTGCACAAAATAAAAATAGCCCTAATTATGGTATTGAATAAAAGTAAAAATGTTTTCAACATACTCTTAGAAATTGTAACGAGTTAAAATTAAAAGTATTTACAAAATTACATGAGGAAAAGGTTATGTTTTTAATGACAATAATATCACACAAATAATTAATACTCACCTCTTCTAAATCAAACGAATTTTACAATTAACAGTATCAAAGCAATGAGTCCAGATGAAATTCGGAATGTAGTATTATTTTTTTATTTCTTAAATAATTCAGTAATTAATGCAGTCTTTATTTTTCCCTTGTGACTTGTGACTTGTGACTAGTCCACTTTTTACCCTACACTGTGTCTACACAAATCCCGACTCCTGACATTCCTGACCATTGGGTGACTACTGATAGTGACAGTACTGACACTACTGACGTACTAACTAGGTATACTGTGCCGACGTGACCAGCGAAAACTGTCAATTACCTACTTAACTCCATTCATGATGTAGTAAATATACTGCAATGAGCCGTATTTAATTTTCGTTTTCTAGTTTTACTTTACGTAACGATTAGTACAAATACGTACGCAAATAAACAATTATTGTATTATTTTGTTCTTTCAAAAATAACTATATCATTATTTTTTACTTGAATCAAATTTTATTGGTGTACATGTATATATCTTGCTCTTTGTAAAAATAAAAAATGTTTGTGGGTTGAGAAACTCTTCAAAGCAAAAATTTTTTTTCAATTTATTGTTAATTCTTACAAGTCAAGGCCTTTGTAACAAATATTTACAATATACTTTTATATTCTCAACATTGCGATAATGAAAAAATTGTAATTGTTAAAAAATAATACAATAACAAACTCATTTAAATGATGATCTCAAAGCTTCTTGTTTTTTTTTTTTTTATAATACTTGGAAAACAAGCATTTATTTAAATGATTATATCAAAACGATTTATCTGTTTCTTGAAAGGTACATCAAATCAAATCAAAAAAGGTCTACATTTGTTAAATAAAGATATTAAATAAAATATTACAAATTACTCTATAAATAAATTTTTCATTTGCAAATTCATGAAGTAAGGTTGTTCTTCAGAGCCATCATTTCGCTCATAATCTTCCAAAACATTCAAAATAATTGTATTAATAGCAATTCTAAGTACCATGAACATAAAAGAAGATAGCAGTAAGGAAGCAATCAAAACTGACAATATCACAGCTAGTGCTTTTTCAAGATTAATAAGAAAAAACGCAAAATAAGTAGTGGAAAGTGACACCGAAATTCCAACTATAAGCACCTGGCCAAGTAACAAAGTAATATTTATCTGTAAGAACGTTATTTATTTTTAAATCCAAATATAACTGAATTTTAGTAATAAGTATTCTAAATTACTTTACAATAGAATCAAACTCACTGTTTTCATAGGGAGGACTTTGATTGATCTTCTTTTCAGAAGATTAAAAGCATCTTCGGCTGATTTGCAAAAACTGGTACCGTGAAGTGCACACATGATGTATGCATTATGATGAATGCACTTTACTTCTTTCTCCAAATTTCCAAATACATGTTCATACCGCTCTTTACAATCAAATTTACAAGATAATATTTTCAATAGTATCTTTATAATGTTTAATAAAGATTTAATAAACTGACATGGAGTCAAAATCAATGATCCAAATACTAATGTACCAAGATGGTTTCTAAAAAAAAAAAAAAAAAAAACATGAAATACTTCAACAAATATAAAATTCACTAGTACTCATCTAATTAATTACTTTAAAATTTTTTTACTGCAGAACACAATACTATTTTTTGAGACATTAATCTCTTCCCGCGTCCAATACAATGTTGCAAATGCTCCTGCTAGCACCGTCCGAGAAAAACCTAGAACAATACCTGTTGCCCATAGGTATCCAAATAAATTATAAAGAAGAAAGATCTTGACATGGTAAGGCATTTCGTGAAACTCGTTTTCAATACTAAGCAGAGTAATAAATACAGTTCCGGCAAACAATATAACAGCTGTAAATAAAAAGCAGGAGAACAGTTGAAATAATGTGATTTTAGAGAAGAACGTCACATATCTAGAAAATAAGAAAATTAGTTTTCAGTCGTGTTATAAGTTGAAACAATAAAAGTTATTTTTATTCACCATACCTGCTTGCTTCTTGGATAACTTTAAATGCTATGTCTATTTTTTTATGATGAAGCACAAATAGAATTGACGATATGACAGATAGAAAAGCAAATAGTAAAAAAACCAAAAAAAGTACTACGAAACTTCCCATAGTACAAGAAACTGCTGCAATACATGTCAGACAAAATATTATTGTTAAATAAATGGTAATAGTTGCATAGACAGTCTGCTTTGTAAACAATCTCAGCAGTGCCATGTATACAATACACAAAGTTGCAGATGCCAAAGAGTAGAGAAAACCAAAATAACTAAATAAAAAAATTAATTTACAGTAAAAATTCATTTTTTAATTTCTTAACATTTCATTTAAACACAATCCTTACCTAGGTGTAAAATCGTTTACTGCAGTCATACGAGAAGCAATATAAGACTGAGTTTTATCATTATATGAACTTGTATATGAATTATTTTGTTGTACATAATGTGTCTCTTCAAAATAAGTATGATGAAAAAAGGAAAACTTTTCAAGTAAATTTCCTCTTACATAAGCTGCAGGAACAGAAAAGCAGTTGTTGGATTAAATTTTCTCATCCTTATAGATTTTAATAAAAAATATTGGAACACACCATAAACAGCTATGCCCAGCCATATAATAGAGAAAACAGCAAATTTTTTTAGGAACCCAACATCGGTTGGGCTGCGCTCCTCATTGAAACTTGGTCCCTTCCATTTTGGATCATACTGGAACTTTTTACCTGGTGTACATATAAATGATCGATCGCCATATTAGAATGCTACAATCTGTACACTTCAATGTGTCGTATTCGCGCATTATTTAGCTAAAAACTGATGTCGAATAAGTTCTAGGATCGAAAAAGTATGCTATAGTTGTTTTACGATTCGAAATCGTACCCAAACTTTTAATAATGCTTAACTAATGTTCGTTACACAGTTAGATTCACGCGAGCAAAACGTGACCAAAGGCCGACTCTCTGGCATGTAAAATTCTTAAATCGAGTTAATTTTAAAGCGATCTATTCAACGTGTCAATCAAGCACGTAGGTATATCTGACCCATCTTACAATATAAAATACCAATGAATAAAACAAAGAGATTCTTTACCATAACACTTTGCCTTGCACTCTGCTTCGGTCTGAGACATCTTTTCAATTGTTTGTCCTTCTCGCGATTGTGCAAAATTGTCGCTCTATTCTGACTCCTAATTTTTCGTTAATAAATTGTTACTGTACTTATTCTTAACTTTTACGAGCAACTGCCGCTCACGCACGATCCGGCACGGCCGGCTGGTTGAAGAGAAGTAACCTATAGTAACATCGTAAATCGTAACTCGTAACCAGTCGTAACATGCATCAAGCAACCTGCGACAGCCTGCGACAGGGACAGAGTTATCCTCTGCCTGCGATTGCTGCGCTGTAAGAGCTGTGATCTCTGCAAGGTGCTTATATTATACTTGTAAACACGTTGTTCCAAGAATCCAAGTCCAAACCAAAACAGGGATGATGGCCCTCAAAAAGATCCATGCTTACTACATTTAACATAGTACAGAAAACAAACAAATGTTACGACGCCCTTTATTATTACCGTTAATCATGTATGCAGTCGGTATTGGTTTATTGGTCTTTCAGACTTCACTTGTAGAGATGACAGTTGACTCTAAACTCTTCTCATCTCTGACTGGATGAGCACGAGTGCATCTTTGCTTTGTTCGAAAAAAACAAAGCTGAATATGAAAAGCGAAACTTATAAGTACTCAAGTATTTTGCAAGATGGCCTCCACCTGGCTCATCCCAATACTTTTGTTTTGAGTTTAACATATATATACATATATATATATATGCGAAAAGCAAAAATAATCATTACATAAAATATATTAAGTGTGAAAGATAAACTTTTACAAACGTTGCGGCAGGTATTTATTTAATTTTTTTTTTGTGCCCAGGATCAAAAAGCGCTATTATGATATTCTGTGGCTAAATAAGTATTATTTAAAATAGTTATATTATGACACTTAAAATTAATCTAAAAAGCGGATAATGCATTTAGTATATTATATAAGTGACATGAGAAAATTACGTGTGATTCTACTTTATAGTAACTTCAATCAAACAAAGTTTTTTTTCTTTTCTTTTAGAGTATACAAACAAATCAACTAGTGTTACTCGTCATACTATGTATTTTGTAAAGATTTTCAGTATGTTTGAAGAGATGTCAGAGAAGACACGTAAATAATTATCCAAAAAATGCGAGAAAATTATTGTAGATTACTTCGACAAAAACGTCATACTAAAAGTTATTTAGCGATTCAAGCATTTCAGATGCTGCGAGAATTATAAAAATTTCTTCTATTTATTTTTCATTAAAATTTTCATTATTGATTTTTATTGCGGTTACTTTCTTGAAGGCTGCAGTGAGAAATTGTGGAAAAAATCATGCCACCTAAAGAACACATACAAAATTGTCTTATATTTTCTTTCAGCCAATAAAACGCAAATCTGATTATCAAAAATAAAACCAGAAGTACGTTTATCGTGTATAGACTGTGTGGCAAAAGCCCATAGGCCAGCGCAAAGCTACTAAAATCTCTGGAAACGCTGCAGTATATTCTACAAATTATTTGTTTGAAAAAAAAACGAATTTTCTTCATTTATGCTTGATTGTGTATGTAATAATCAAATAATCATGTCTGATAAGACTTTGCATCAACTAAAATTTTTTTTTTGTAGTTCTGCTTGCGAAAAGATATATTAATTACGAATAAAAAGGTTTTTTATTTGCTGAAGACGTTGTGAAATCGCACTGAATTCCGCGGAATTCGACCGCAACAGCTTGAACGCATTCCTCAACACCGAAAGGATCAATGTAAACGTACCCTTGTATCGTACCGGGCCCCTAAATTTTTGCAACAGCAACAGCTCCGTCTGCTCCAATATCTTATCATCACATCTTATTCGTCCATCCTGTGGTGCGGATAACTTGTAACCTAAAGTGTTCGATTGAGAGTTTCAGTATAACATTTCTCTCTGTTTGTTGTTAAATTCTTTAACTTTTTATTTTTTACTTTAACGTTTGAAAAATGACGAGCAAGCCAGCATACAAAGTTGGTACGTATAAGTACTTGTTTTGTGGTAGTAATTATTCCAATGCTTATTCAACGTACTTTTGGAGCAGCACGTGTTGTGCCGCCGCATACTATACCTATATTGCTGATTCAATGCATATTTCTTTTTTTTTTTTTTATATTCGATTCGAATTTGACATTTATCTCTGTATTCTATGTGAAACGTCAATGGTGTTTTACATTTTTTTATTTTGTAATCAGCCGACATCTCTTTGGCTGAGTGGGGGAGAAAAGAAATCACTTTGGCTGAAAATGAAATGCCCGGATTGATGGCTATTCGCAAAAAGTATGGACCAGAAAAAATTTTGAAAGGTGCCCGCATTGCTGGCTGCTTACATATGACTGTGCAAACTGCTGTACTTATGGAAACTCTCATGGAACTTGGTGCCAAGGTAATAAAATAAACTATTTAATTTCAATAATAGATTGAGCCTAAAATTTAAATAGCTCTCAAAGCTTTTTTTATCATAAAAATTGTTATGGAAAGAAGCACAGTAAAAATGTGAAAAACTCATTTGTGCAAGAATTTATCTGGGTTGTGTAAATATATTGTTTTGCGACTTAAACTATCTTAAGCAACGGCTATCTTATCTATATTCAATTCTGTGGGAGATAAGAGCTATAACGTTTGTCTTGGCAATGTCCTTTTTCAACTTATAAGGCACTAATCACAATAAAATATAAATATTTAGGTGCAATGGTCTTCCTGCAACATATTTAGCACACAAGACCATGCCGCAGCTGCAATGGCTAAAGTTGGAGTACCAGTTTATGCCTGGAAAGGAGAAACGGATGAAGAATACATGTGGTGTATTGAACAGACTTTACTTTTTGAAGATGGAAAGCCATTTAATTTAATTCTAGATGATGGAGGTGATTTGACTAATCTGGTACATAGTAAATACCCGCAGTACTTGGAAAACTGCAAGGGTATTTCAGAAGAAACAACAACTGGTGTGCACAATGCATATCGCATGTTGAAAGATGGAAAACTCAAAGTTCCTGTTATTAATGTCAATGATTCAGTAACCAAAGTTAGTCAAATTTTCATCAAACACGAAAAATATACGTTATCATCAATAGTTAGACTTGGTAATGTTTAAAAACAATTTTTCTAGAGCAAATTTGACAACTTGTATGGCTGCAGAGAATCTTTAATCGACGGCATCAAAAGAGCAACTGATGTTATGATAGCAGGAAAAGTTTGTGTTGTTGCTGGATATGGTGATGTTGGAAAAGGTTGTGCTCAAAGCTTGAGAGCATTGGGAGGACGTGTAATTATTACTGAAATCGATCCTATTAATGCTCTTCAAGCAGCTATGGAAGGCTATGAGGTACACTTATACTAGTTATTTATATTCTTAACAACATTAGTGATGTTTCACGAAATAACTAAATATTGTAGGTGACAACTATGGATGAAGCTTCTAAAAAAGGTCAAATATTTGTCACGTCTACGGGTTGCAAGGACATAATAACAGGAGCTCACTTTTTGAATATGCCAAATGATGCTATAGTATGTAACATTGGACACTTTGATTGTGAAATACAAGTTGCATGGTTAGAAGAGAATTCAGTTGAAAAAACAAATATTAAGCCACAAGTAGACCGCTACAAATTAAGTAGTGGAAGGTAAAGTATACGATTTTTTTCAATTCTATGTTATTATTCACCACACTCATATATACTTTTTTAGGTATGTGATTGTTCTTGCGGAAGGACGTTTAGTTAATCTTGGCTGTGCAACTGGTCATTCCAGTTTCGTTATGAGTAACTCTTTCACAAATCAAACACTTGCTCAGATCGAGTTATGGACAAAGTCTGAATCTTACACAATTGGTGTTCATATGCTTCCTAAAAAAGTAAGTTTAGTAACTTTTCAAACTATTTTAGTACAAGATAAAAGTGTCTCACAATAACTGTTTTTTTTTTTAACTAGCTGGATGAAGAGGTTGCGGCTTTGCATCTTGATCATTTGGGTGTGAAATTGACAAAACTTACCCCATCTCAATCTGAATATTTAAGTATTTCTGTGGATGGACCCTACAAGCCAGACCACTACAGATATTAAATGTGCGAAAGTAATTCGATACTTTGTGAATAAAATCATGCGAATGACTAAATCTGCATTTATCATTGTTGGAATAACTGAATAAATTACTATTTTGGGTGATAATGGTGCTGTCGATTTTTTTAATCAATTTTTTTTTTTTTATAAAAAAAATCTATTCATAACACATGCACGATTCAATACTTAATGCAGTCACTTGTTCTTATTTTTATAAAAGAGGATTTAAACAAAAAGATAACTAACCTTTGGTTTGAACATCAGGTATGTATTTTTTTATAAAATTAAACTCTAAAGCTTCCAAAAATATTAAATACTCTTAATTACACTTTTAAAAGACTGTTTTCACGAAGGCAGTAACACCCACATCCTGTTGGACAAAGGATTTCATTTTTAAACCATGCTGCCAAGTGGCTAGTATGGCCACCATGTCCACATACAGTACAAAAATTGCTAGGACCTGTAAATTAACAACCACATGACTACCGATATTAACAATACATTGGTATCCTTAAAATATGCAATTTTGGGTAATTACCTCTAACAGAAATATGGCATATGACGCACTGGAAAGTCAATCGCTTACAAATAGAACATTGTGGTCCTTTACTTGATTTATTGCACACTCTACAATCACTATAGAGTTCTACGCTTCTGTGCGAATCGCATGATGTTGCGCTGACATGCTTTAAAACTTGAGCACGTGCATCGAGCAGTCTCCATCGGTACAAGACTTCGGCATAAGCTTTTTTATATGAATCGTATAAGGCGGTATTTTTATTGTCCAACAATCTAAAATTGAAAACAGACGCATGTCTAGATATTTTTTTTTTTTCCAAGTCATTTTAAATTTTTTCTACTCATACCTTACATTGCGCCCATATTCAGTACACGCATCTTGAATTTGAAGTTCGTCCAATGATTCTGACCAAGAATTCGATCTATTTTGTTTTAAATTAGGAAAATTCCATCCTTCCAGACTAGTATCTGCTGGATGAATGGTGTGATACGGTGATCTACCAGGCTAAAATTTTTTAGTTATCGGATAGTTTCTATCTACGATGATATGTACAAAAAAAAGTATGAAGAATCATGTTTTTCGTGCGATAGTACATTTTTAATTAGGACATTGTTAATAACGTGCGTTGTGAGGAGAGTGTAGATGTAATGATTAAAGCTCCAAATAAAAACAGTTAATATTTGAGGTGAATGTTGAATGGTTATTGCATAGTGTTAAGAAAATAGCGACAAAAACCCTAAGAACCAATTAGTTTCAAAATAATGATCAATTTAAAAATCGAAGCTAAACCGCAAATTATTTTTATTATATGTATCCATAAAATCGTAAGACGAAGCTTGCCTTACCTTCAACCATAATTTCAGTATAACATTTCTCTCTGTTTGTTGTTAAATTCTTTAACTTTTTATTTTTTACTTTAACGATCCAAATACTAATGTACCAAGATGGTTTCTAAAAAAAAAAAAAAAAAAAACATGAAATACTTCAACAAATATAAAATTCACTAGTACTCATCTAATTAATTACTTTAAAATTTTTTTACTGCAGAACACAATACTATTAACTACTTGCGTGTGAGGCATGATTACTGAAACCAGCGCTTATAATTTGAAAAAAAAAAAAAAAAATTTAACCGGGGCAAATCAATTTTCAATTAATGCGTTAAACCTTGCAACTTTGGACCTTTAAAATGATAACGTGTTAAAAAAGTTTTCTCTTGGTATTTAAAAGTAAAAATTTTTGAAGATTACGATAGGCCCTATGGCCTACCAAATTTTATTAAAGCGAAACAACTTCTTTATCGTATCAGATGATAAGATCACCTTTAAATAGACCTGTTGATTTTTTGCTCTAATCTAATCACATAAATTATTGTAATGAAGCCTTGCATATATATTATTAGATAAACAAATAAGATAAAATAAATCACTCTTGTGAAGCAGTGGCATCTGAGTGAATGTAAGCCAAATGAGAGCGCAAAAAATTTGGTTCTCAAGGTGTACAAAAATTAAAAAAATTAAAAAACCTTAGGAAGTGACAATTTGGAACATAACGGCTGTAGTGTAATTTGCTTGTGCAAAACTATTTGACCAGAGTGCATTGTAAAAGCAAAAAATAAAATTAATTGTTATTTACAGAGGTGTATGTATCATATGCGAGACTTACACTGACGTTGACTGATTTACTGATAAAACGATTTTGAGGCACATCCACACAGTCCAGTCTGTGACTAAAAGCGCAGCTCAATGTGCCAGCCATTTGTATGTCAGATTGATTAGCGTAATGTTGTATTCTAAAAAGAGAAAAATCATTATTTGGCAAAAGTCTGCACAAAAATACGTAATCTCAGGTAGATGTCGCATACAGGGAATGAATCAACTTTTGTCCAAAGGGATGTAAAGACCAAGGAACGTCTACGTCCGATGATTGTGTAGATGGGTGTGTATTTGTAAGATGCTGTGAAACAACCAAGGCAGCCAAGCTCCAAGCTTGCACGAGATCGGGTCTCTCAAGATTTGCCGCTACGTTTGCGTTGTACTGACACATCGCCGGAATGTCAGTCGTGTTAATCCTGTTCAATCATATTGACGTATTAATAATTTACTTATAAATATAATTATTTCAAAAAATACTAATAAAATTAGAAATTTACACGTATTTTTCGGCTAACTCTTTGCTAACGAAAAAGAGAGAAGACGCGTCGTATACAGTGACCAAAGAGTGATAGTTTTTGTACAATTTTTGGTGGCTCTTGTTTTGTCCGTGTGTGGCTCTTCTTGACGTCTGGAAACACAAAGATTTTATAATAAGCCAACAAATACAGACGATTAAATCATCTACTCACTCGTTCTTGATAATAAAAAGAACTCAAATACATCTTATCGCTTGACTGAATGTACGAGTTAGAGTAGATTTGCAAGAAATGACCTTTGTTGTTGACGTTTTGGCCAAGTGCAGACAGGGCCCGAGGAGTCGAACTTTCGAGTTTGACAGAGGTCCTACGAGTATACGAAGAACGACGGAAACATACCAGAACTCCTGCAAATTAACATTAGTAAATTAAGTTATTCCCTTCGTTTGATTGAAATTTCTTGTGCACTGACCTACGCTGCAAAATTTAGCCCCTGATGTTCTGGGAAAAGGAATGTACGAATCTTGATAATTTGAACAAATTTTGCTCGAGTTCAAAAAGTTTTCGTTGTGTTGCATGTGATACGCCAAGTGGTTATTTTCCGTTTCATCTTTCAGGCAAGTCTACAGAAAAAAATTTATATAACACCATAATAAAACAAAATATTTCGATTATAATTGCGTATGTGCTCACCTGTTCTAATGTAGTGATCAATTGTCGTAAACACGGTTCTAAACAGGATCGGTTTTTTTTCACTCTCTGTTGAGCTGTGTTTTTTAAGACTTTCAGGCATTTTGTCATGATTACGTTATCTACAGTGGTTCCAGAACAAAACTGGAATGTGGGTTGCGCACTACACGGATAGTTTCCCGGAAAATTAACTTTTAAAACTACGTTGTAATTTTTATTTGATGCTGTGACTGTACAAGTTCTTTCTACTGCGTCCATTGAATTTACCTGATTTCAGTGTCGATAAAAAATATGTATATGCGTGGTTAATGAATTGTTCAATTTTGAGCAACTATAAATGATTACTATAGCATACTTCAATATTTGGAATATTTATGTTGATTAAAGAAAATTCTTGTTGAAGAGTTTTGGGCTGAGTTGGAGAAGGTGCTTCTGTTTCGAGTTTTGGAATATCTTCTTCGTGATTTAGAGGAACAACGTCCATCTTCGATGGATAGTTTAATTTATGCTCGTTGTTCAATGGATGAAGTTCGAGTTCTTCGGACTGTAAAGTTCCTTAAAAAAAAAATGTTGATGAGAATTAACCATTAATATACCCGAAAAAGTAATTAAAAAGTTGTAACAAAGTTATTGAAATATTACTTAAATTATCGCTCTCTGAGAACTGGGTAAAGTCAATATTATTGTCGTCGATATCGTCATGTCCACATAACTACAAAAACAAAAATCGGTATAAGACAAAGAACAATATAAATGAAAAAATACAGATTTTTACCTTTTTCAATAATGGAGGAATTTTGAATATTCTTAAGCACTGGTCCTTTGACCACGTAATAAGTTCAAAGTCATTTGCATCTAATGAAAAAATATCATTTAAAATCGTCGTAAGCTTTTACAAAATCAGACTATATTACCTAATTTAGGATGACGCCATTGAAATTCTAAAACTACATCAGTATGTCCCACAAAAGTATATATTGGTGCTGACAAATTTGATGTGCTCCATAATAATAGACTATTTTCACCTCTTCGTAACTGAGGCACAACTATTGTCACTAAGCCTTCACCAAAAGGCTAAGGTGTAACTCAAAATATTAATGATTTCCACTGCCAAAAATAGTTTTACAATATAGATACATTGTAAAAATGTAATACATACTGTGTATCTTGCTCTCCACACGGGAGAATTTGTAGTAAGAATACCGTCTACTCTACGAGGATTGTTGGTATCAATAATTTTAACTGTACAATCTTGACTCGATGTAGCCAACTGATTTTGCTGATAAGGACACCAATCTAGTCCATGGATCTGTAAATTTTACGTAGTGTACATTATTAGAAATTGATATGTTTACTTATAAACGGCTTTTTATCACCTACTTTGGTTAAATGAGCCGCGATGTACTGTATTGGACTGTTTCCTTTTCTTTGATCCCAAATTTTGACATCGCCATCGTGGGCAGTAGCCAGCATGTTTGGAGATAAAGTATTCCAGCAAACTTGAGATGCACCAGCTAAAAACAAAACGGTTTTGGATACTACTTTGAATGCAGAGACAAAACGTAATAAAAAAATTATTTTTTCAACACACCCACGGCTGATAGAGATAAACATGGTTTTCTTTGGTCTCTTAGGTCCCAAATATGAATGTAAGTATCTATACTGCACGTTGCCAGAATGTCAGGATCCTTAGGATGCCAATTTAAGTCACTAACTACCCTTGTATGAGCGCGTAAGCTGTGTGTTTGTTGCAAATCACAACTATTGCCTTCCATAAAATTTAATACTTCTACTCTGGTATTACTCTTGATGAAAAAATATATTTATTTATTAAAAAAATATTGGAGCTCCATAATTTGATTGTTAAGGTAAAGTTAAAAAAAAATTTACAGATATTGCACACAAATGACAATTGGCTAAGTTAGGATTCCATTCTGCTGATCCTACTTCATATTTACTTTGTCTTTGAAACTTTTTCAAAGCATCAGATTCTTCCTCCAAATTTTTGATTGCCAAACATCTCCGTCTAAAAATCAATTGTAGAAATAAGGTACAGTACACAATTAAATAAATTTTTAATTGAAAGCGCAACCAACCCAGCCAAAAGTACACGACTGCCTGTGAGATCAACAGCCATAGTATTTGCCTGTTGGAATAAATTTGCATTGAATCACTGAAAATTGAGCTGTCACTTAAAAATTGACAATTAAATATAAAAGTAGTAACCTGTAAGTCTCGATGCTCTGTGACCACATAGTCTCTTCCCCAGTGTTTTGCCATTTTTAATTGTCCGGAGGAATCGAATAACAAAGGGTAACGTGCAAATAACAGTTGATTGTAACTTAGAAATAATTTTACACAGAGTTGAAAAGAACCACTGCTATTAAATTCCACTTGTTGTTTATCTCTCGATCAGCTCCAGCATAACCAAGTGCATTATATTGTGCATTTATAGGTATGTTTTGAAATTTTCCAAAACACGAAGCAGGATCGCGGTAATTCACTGCAAAGTGAAGATTCCATGAATTCATGTGCCGAAGAAATGCTTGATACAACGTTAATTTATAGATTTTGGCTTAATTACACACCATTATGTGCATTAAGTCAAGTAGCTAAACCTGAGTTGTGGATCACGAAATCCAATAATAAAGAGCAACAATCACTTAAACACAGTACACGAAACCCATGAAATGGAAAGTGAAAAAAAAAAAATATGACGGCAATGCCGTCAAAAAAGAAAGAGTGGGGGGAGATCAGTGTTTTGTTTTTGTGTGATGATGGTATTGTGGAGAAACAGAGATTCTATCTTATCGACTTGGTTCACTGAGTCATGTCGGTATAGTAGGGAATTGTCTTTTGAAACTTTCCATGGTACGATAAATCCGAATAAAATTTGAAGGTATAGTTTTTTTGTTTGCAAATGTGAATTAAATTTTAGGAATAATAAAAAGGATCGAAATAATTGTTGCTACAATGATTTAATGTTTTGATTTTTATTATAAACAATTTTCTCATATAATATTTATCATTACTTTATTATTACTTTTGAAGGCACATGTTTCATTAACAATAGATGCGTCATACATATAGTCGAATTTTATTATTTTTTTTTCTCTGTTTTACTAAGTACACAGCATTCGAAAAAATTAGCCATGTCCTGGACCAACATATACAGGTATGCTTAGTTACAAAACACTTATTTTACAAACTGAGCAGTCAGCAATGATTTTTTGCACTCTTGAAAATCTCATCTATGTATTCGCTACAGTAGGCTTATGTAAAACTCATATATGCAAAAAACCAAATTGATAGGAAAAAAAGGAAACATATTTGATGACGTCTTTGTGAGTCCTAAGGTATATTTATAGAGTTCTAAAGTACATTTATAGTTAAAATAACGAATAAAGAATTGCTTCGAGTTGGATCACCTGGCAAGTTTACTTGTACACGTTAGTCGCAATTATATTTTTTAAATCCGAATGACCAGTCGGATTGCAAAAATTTGCGAGTTAAAACTTAAAACGCGGCGCTTTTCCGATTTCAATTTGACTTCATCTAAACTCAAACATTTAGGTGAAACAAATAAAAGAAAATATATATATATATTTTTATTTTTAATTTAAGTACATACAACATAATTTCTTGTACTCCACTCTTTCTTTGGGAGCATAAAATACCGCACAGTGGAATCCGTCGAGTCAATAAAACAAATACAATCCATTCATGAAAAGTCGCACGATATTACAATCCTATTGTCGGATTAAGAGTAGGACTTGGATTTATAATGTATATATACTTGATTGTGAACTATCCGTCCTACCGACATAGCTACCCAACTGATTTCAACAAATATACAATAAAAAAAGGACTTTTCCAAATACAATTTCTTCCTTCAATACTCTCGTTTTTTATATATATTACATACCATATCCATAGATACGAACGCAGTTTAGACGAATTCCGCTGTGTGGTGTTGCGCTAACTAAAAATTATTGCTATAATCGATCGATATTTAAATATGTACAAAAAACGTGCGAAGATAATGTGATGATTTCTTCTTCCCATAGCTTGCTTTCGATTGCTTGAATTTTCTTTCATTGTACGTTGAAAAATACCTTAATGTACGTTGAACGTTGCCTACGAGATATACCTTAATGCATTATCAATCTCCGTCCGATAGTCGATTGATAATAAAAAACAAGATAAATTAAAAAAAAGCATATAGAAAACGATCGCATAAAAGATTTATACAGTGATCAAGGGTCCGTACGAAAACGTGACGTGATTCGTGTCACGTATCACCAGTATCATTAAAAATTAAATTTGTATTCAGAATTTTAAAATTCATTGATTTTAGCTGGTTGCACTCTTGGATATAGCTGTAACAAAACAAAACAAAAATTAAAAAATTAGCACAACCTACGTTGTTTTATTTTGTTTTCCTCAAGCTTTCGTTAAAAATTTCAATCGCATGTACTTACGCCTAGTAAATTCCGAGGAACGTAACCCTCCCGATGGCCCAACTTGCTCCACCACCATTCCCTCTCGTTGTCATCACCTTTCCGCAGGATCACCAAGGAATCGCCGTTTTTCAATGTAAGTTCGTCGCTATGCTGAGCCTCGTAGTCAAACACAGCGTAAACTTGCCCGTTGTTCATGATCCCAAGTTTTTCTTGAACACCTGTAAGAAAAAACGAAACGTCAACAATCAGCCCCGTTCATTGGCTCCTTTTTTTTTTTAACGATTTGATACCGACTGTACAAATATTCGGAACATCCGTCGAAACCCTCCTCGTCCTCTTCGCACTTTTCCGCCGCGGTCTCGTGGTCCGACAACGTGGTCGCGAAAATACAGGCCCCGTGCTCCACCAAGAACCTCACCATCGCCAAGTTATTGCAACTCGCGGCGCAGTGTAGCGGTGTCCTGAACAGTAAAAAATGGCACTTGATTTTTTATAAATGGCCCCGTGAAAAGGACACTATAATCATGTCGTGTGTGCCCTACCATCCGTCGCTGTCCTGGGCATTGACGTCGCAGCCAAACTCAACGAGGAACTTGACGATCTCGAGATGGCCAGCGCAAATGGCGTTGTGAAGCGCGGTGATGCCCTCGTCGTTGGCGGAGCTCGGGTTAGCCACCTCTTTGGCTGTCTTCTTGACGAGCTCGAGCTCGCCCTCGAGACTAGCATCGAGGAGCAGCGCCAGCGGGTCGAAGCTGACCCGCCTCGATAAATTGACCTTGCCCGTCGTGGACTTGAGATTGCCCTTCTTGCGCCTTATCACGTCCGCCGCTGGCTTACCACCGCCCTCGATCTCGATCGTCTCGGATCTGTACACACTTTTTATTTATAGCCACCCCTTTTTTTTTTTTTTTTTTTTCGTATCCATAAACATAATTTCAACGGTGACACACTCACTTTAGCTTGTTGTGATGGTCCTCGATGTTGATGACGTTGAGCGCGTCGACAATGTCCGAGTCCTCGAGCTTCTCGTTGCAGATCTCGTCGTTCGACACCGGACTAACGATCAGCCTCTTCAACGAACTGTTATCCGTGACGTCGAGCTGTTGCTGTTGTTGATCCGTTTGCATAAGATCCGCAGGAATCTCGGTTTCGGGGAATAGGAAGGCAGGGGGCATCTCGATGCGCCGGTTTATCGACACGTGCACGTTGGATTTCGCGTAGCGGAGCTTCGGCTGCTCCGAGAGCGGCGTCTTTTTCAAGCCCAACGGCCGGGCCTTTATCACCTGGTGGAGTAACTGCTGCTGCTGCTGCTGCTGCTGCGTGGGATCGGTCGGCGAGTCTGGCGGCTCGGACGTAGGAATCGGCGGAATCGTGTCCTCTTCCTTTTCAGCTCTACACACAGAAAAATAAAATCCCTTGCGTGAATTGTTTATTTACTACCGAGTACAAGTCGTTGAAAAAAAAAAAAAAAAAAAAATCATTTATCCACACACGGGAAGGTCGATTAAAAAATTAACAAGCTATAGTTTTTTTTTTCCAGTACAAAAAATAATAGCAGGGAGTAGTTTATTGTTTCGAACAACTTTTTTTTCATCGTTACCTGAGCAACGCAATCAATCGACGCAAAACTTGAAACTACTACGTAACAACGTGCCGTAACAGCAGGAGACCACGGTGGGTATATATTTTTTTTTTTCTCACCCGCGAAAAAATATAATCTGTTGGAGCACAGTCGTGGAATTGCAAGGGAATTTCGAGCACTCAATAAAAGAGAAAGAGAAACAAGCGCAGCACAACGAAAAAATTGAGCGTCCAGATGAGCACAGCCGCTAGAAGCCGATACCCGGGAATGTAATTCTTCAGCCCGGTCATGATGACGACAAGTAATTGTTTGAAATAAAATAGAAAAATAGAGAAATTGTACACGTATACTCGAAGCCGATGGACTTTTCTCTCGTGTATCGAGAGAAGAGGCGCACAATATCCGAGCACCCGCGCCGTGGTGCGTCTATTTCGGTGAGCCTATTGTTTGAAAGGAGAGTAGGTATAGAGGAAAGAAAGAGAAGAGCGAAGCAAAGCGGCGATGAGTAAGGCGGGCCCTCCCGAGCTGCCGGCCAAATCGATCGTTGGACTAATTAACATTTTTAATCGACCTGCTATAACACTGCGATATAGTTAACCGCCCGTGGCTCTCCTCGTGCCAGGGCTTACATCCTTGCGCGACGATGGTTATTCATGAGCAAGTACATATACATACGCGACGGAGTACTTGTCTTTATCCCTCGTATCTATACACTCTCGTACGCACACCACTCGGTGAAGGCCATTTATTTATTTATACCCTAAATTCAACACTAAATTGGGCGAAGCAAAATTAATGACCAATCTCGCTATGTAAGTACGTATTTTTGTACCAACAAAAAAATGAGAAGAAAATAACGTTTTTCAATTCAAAGCAAACGCGTGTCTACTCCGACGGGCGATTTCATTTGAATTTAGACGTTTTACTCCCCGATTTGCGTAAAAAAAAAACTGCTTTCACGTTCCACCGAGACAATTACCTATTTACTCGCGTAAAAAAGCGCGCACAGCAATCTGCTACGTGGTTAATTCAGCGAAAAGAGTCGCTTTGGAACTGAAAATACCCGCATTCCGTGGCGAATTATTTTTTTGATTGGAGTGGCGAAAGTAAAGGCTCACCTCGAGGGCAGGCTAACACCGGGCTTGACGTCACCAATTTCGGCACTGGGCTCGAGCTTCTCGTGGTGCTGAGTCAGCCGGGGCGGGGGATTCGGTTTGGTGGGCTTCGGAGGCAGGGCTGGCTTCGTTTTGTCGAAGGGCAGCTCGGGCTTCAGCTCGCTGGATATCGCCCCGCTCGGGGGCTTCCTCTCGTACTCGAACGGCTTTTCCGGCAGCTTAGTCGGCGGCTCGAGTTTCGGCGGATGCTGCGACGCTTGCTGCTGCTCGTACCTGCGCGACCAAGGAAAAATTAATCGAAACGAGCAAGCACGCGATTGGGTTCCGGCTTGAATTCGACAAAAACACACACCTGGCAGCGAGATGCTCGAACTTTGTTTGGCTCTGTTCGGGCTTGTACGGCTGGGCGGCTATGTGCTCGATTTGTTGTTGTTGTTGTTGTTGCTGCTGCTGCAGTTTCGACGTCTGCTCGAGTTTAACGGGCGCCGACTGGTCGTAGAGCTTGATCGGCTGGCCGTGCGTCTCGTACTTAACTTGCTGCTGCTGCAACTGCGACTGATCGATTCCTATTTTCGGAAAGTAATTATTCCGCGAGTTAGTTTCGCAAACAATAATGCGGAGTTGTGATTTTGGGATCGGTTCCAAGTTTCAAAATACCGCGGACTTATTTTAAGGGCTTTTTTTTTTTTTTTTTTTTTTTTTTTTTACATAACGCGAATTGCGCGCAAAACCGCAATTTAAACGACATTGGATGCGTACCAGGTAGTTTGTCGGGTATCTTGAGCCGTTCGTCGAGACTCTGTTGCGTCGCTTGACCGTACGCGTATCCGGTGAACACGGGGCCACTACTCGCTGGCAGATTCGGCGAGTTTTGCGACTGATATGCAGACACTACGGTAGAAACGATACTCTGCTGTTGCTGTTGTTGTTGCTGGCCGTTTTGCAGCCCAACTCCCATGCCTGCGTTCAAATCTGAAGGAATTTTCAAGGAGGTTGGTTTGTTTTGTGTTGTTTCAGTGTAAAGTAACGATGGATGAATAAAGAAAAACTGACCTGCTCGAGGGTTTTGATTTTGCGCACCAGAGCTTGGCGAGTAGGAAGACTGAGTCGCCGGATGACCGCGGCCGATGAGGCTGAGGGTCTGGGGCATAACTGGATGAATCTTGGTGGAGGAGGTCTGGTAGATGGGCGATTTGACGGGAAAGCTCGGCGCGACGCTGGACACGGGCTTCTGCGGCCTGAGGTTCGCTCCACCTCCACCTTGGGCTGCAGCTGCAGACGATGGGGACCCTGACGACGACACGCTCCCATGCTGCTGCTGAAGAAATGTTTGCTTCTGTTGGGGACTCGAGTGTTGCTGCTGGTGCTGCGAGACCAGCCTCAGGTTCTGCACGGGACTGTTCTGACCGCCCTCGACTTGCACACTGTGATTGTCAGTGTTGTTATTGTTGTTGTTCATACTGTTGTTCATACTGTTGTTCAGGTTGTTGTTGTTGTTGTTCACGCTGTTATTATTGTTGATGCTGTTGTTTAGGATCTGGGGACTCTGGTGCTGCTGCTGCGTCATCTGGTTGTTCAAGGGCTGGGATTGACCTGCGAGATCGGTATCGGTATATTTTTACTGCACATACATTTCATACTCCGCGAAAGTGGACCTTTTGGCACACGTTACTCTACCAACGACAGAAATCAATTGTACTGCTTTTTTTGTCGATCGGAGCTATAAGTAAACGCGATGGTACGCGATTTTGTGTTGCAAAAACAATACCGGTAGTAAAAAACAATCGACTTGTCCATACTTATACATACACCATAGGTGAATCCTTTTTCTGTATATTATCGTATGAAAAAAAAAAAAAAAAAAAAAAAAAAGTAATAACCTTGAATATGCGACTGGGACTGGCTGTGGGCGATCTGATGTCCAAACTGTTGTTGCTGCTGCAGATTGACCGGTCTCTGGGCGATCTGTGACGCGCTGGCGCTATGCTGTACCTTGTTGTTGTTGTTCTTGTTGACGTCGTCCTCGGTCGTCTTGAAGTTAACCGTGAACTTGGTATTGTAGGGCAGAGTCTGGTACTTGGGATCGTTCTTGTTGATGGTAAAGTCGTTGTCGTTGCACGGTATGTGCGAGTAGGGCTCGATAGCCGCTATGTTGCCCACCGGCCGGGGCTTGCCCATTAAAACCGCCCCACCAAAGTCCAGCTTACCCGGACTATTGCCAACCGTCGTCGCCGTCGTCGCGGATCCCTTTATCGTACTCCCCGGATTGTTCAAGTTGTTCCGAATGATATTATTGTTGTTGTTGTTGTTGTTGTTGTTGTTGTTGATGTTGTTGTTGTTGTTGTTGTTGTTGTTGTTGTTCTGCTGTACGAGCTGCTGACTGAGGCGCTGGTTGAGGGCGCGCTTCCTCTGCAACCGACCCTGTAGCTGGGCTATCCGCGCGTCTATCGAGGCCATTTCAGCCTGGCGCTGCACCAGTGCCAGCCGCTGCTGCGACACCACTTGGTTCTGCTGCTCGTTCATTTTGTTCCGGTACTGCGGTATGTACACACGAGTTATTATTATTAAAAAAAAAAAAAAAAAAAAACAACAAAAATGTCGAGACGAGAGGCAAAGCATGAATGAAGTATATGGGGGAGGTGTATACAATATACTCACGAGCAGCTCCCTCCTGAGCTTCTCGAGCTCGGCGCTGGCGGGCGTGCCGAGGTGGCCCGGCTGCCCGGGCTGTCCGTGCCTACCCCTGAGCTCCTCGAGTTGTCGCGTCAGCTCTTCCACCTTAGCCACCGCCAGAGACAGCTCCTTCTCCTTCTCGTTGAACAGGGCCCTTATGCAGTCCAGGTCGGATGCTGCGGTAACAGAGGGGTGGTTATAACGCATGGAGTCACGCACGGGTATACATCAGAGAGAAGGTGGTGCTATTGTCGTTGAGAGGGGAAAAAAAAAAAAAAAAAAAAAGATGGGCAAAGCAGTAACGGCACGCGCGACTCTTGACTATATAGGGCCATATAACCTTCTTTGTCGCTATATGAGACTGCACGCTTCTACGGTACATCATCACTCTGCTGAGCTCCTTTTTTTCTTTCATGGTCTCACCTCCTCTTCCCTGTGGGTAATTACCTACACCGCGCCCCTCCTGGGAATTATATTACACCGGCCGTTATCGTTATCAGGGCTCGCGTTACTTTTCACCCCCTGCAACCCCGACATCGTGATCCTGCACCGGGGTAACAGCGACGAGCCGGTAAATTAACCACCCAACTTTGGGGGGCAGGGCGGACACCGGAGAGAGGAGTAGCGGAAAAATTAGTACGACCGCCCCCAAGAAACGTCTTACGCGCTCAACGATAAGGGGTAAAGAGCTCCCCTCCTCCCACCCCCTTTATGTTCTTCTTTTGGCGAGTGCGTCACCCTCGGAGCTTGCATACTTATACGTGCCAACACACCGGCGCTCTGCTGATGCAGTTCTCTCGAGACGCGCGCTCCCTCGAGTGTCGTCGATTTAGCCTCGTCGCCATTAGTGCTCGAGAGAGAGCGGCGAATTTCTTTGCTCTCGCGCGTAGGTACGGCTTAAGGTAATCCCTCCCCCCCACCCTCATTAGCTCTGAGTTTTTTAATGCGACCGTGTGATTACAGCTTGATGACTTTTCTTTGTTAAAGCCAAAGCTCTCACCGCGCACAGTATAAGTAGAAAAGGTCGATTTTGGTCGGACCGACCCTCCGCGGGAGCAAAAGCATCTCACCCGAATGACATTCATACATATAAGTCTTCGTATATATATATATATATATACGTACAAGTCGACGAGTCAGCCGTGCGTTAAACCCGCATCTCACGTATATGGAGGCCTTATCTTTTCTTTCTCCCCGCCCCTGCGTGTTCTTCGTCACCGCGAGAGGAGGAGAGAAAAGTGGAGGGAGCACCGGGACAAAGGAAAAACAGAGGAAAGAGGCATTCGCGAGATTGCTCCGCCATCCCCCCCTTGGACGGCGAATAATGCGAAAATTGCTCGATATTAAATTCTGCTTTGACGAGTGGCGCGCGAGCCACCCGCAATGACAGCGACGTGACAGAGAGAAAAAAAAAAAAAAAAAAGGTCATTTTCGCGCTAAAATCTATATCGGGTCTACTGCGAATTCAATTTTTTGACGGGTCGCAGTGAACGTCGGCCACGCGGGTAATTTGTTCGTTACAACGGCGCTGACTGGATTATTCGAGTGCGGTCGGGCGAGCTTGAATTTTGATTATTCGAGGTTCAGCGTGTAACCTTTTTTTTTTTTCATGGCGATGTTTGTAGGACAAATAAAAAAGAGAGCAACATTTTTGGGCTTCGTAAAAAATGCAAGACATCGTATGAACTCCCCATCAGCCGCAGAAGAAAGCACCCCCCGAGCCGTTCTTTTGCGTATATGCAAAAAATCGAGTAAGATGGAAAACCTTTTTGCAAAGTTTCATCTCTCGCTGGGCGCCTCTGTATTTTAAGCACAAAAGGGAGTGCGCGGGCGAACGAACGAAAGCACGGAAGTAAAAAAAAAAAAAAAAAAAAGTTTGTGTTTGACAATGTATCCACGTAGTAATATAGTATGGGAGGGAAAGTAAGTAAGGGGGCGCGGACTGTGAATTACGGCGTAAACAGTGTACGCAAGTTCAAGGAAATTGAATTTTTCCGAGCGAACGGAACAGGGGGAGGATGGTTTCTTTTTCTTTTCGCGAGCNGTATCCACGTAGTAATATAGTATGGGAGGGAAAGTAAGTAAGGGGGCGCGGACTGTGAATTACGGCGTAAACAGTGTACGCAAGTTCAAGGAAATTGAATTTTTCCGAGCGAACGGAACAGGGGGAGGATGGTTTCTTTTTCTTTTCGCGAGCGCACGAGGATCGAACGGCTAAATTGTATCGAGGAACAAAGGGAGATCTTGCAACTTTAGGTGTATATGTGTCTATACGTGTTTCATTTGCTCCGATGAAGAGGAAAAAAAAACGCACGAGCGCGTCAATGCTGCAAAGTGTGTGATATAGTCCCGTTGGAAATACTACTAGTAGCAGCGAGTCTTTTTTTTGCTTTCGAGATATTGCTCGAAGTAAAATATAAACGAAATATAAAAACACGCGACTCGTAAATACACGTCGACATTCCGATCATCGAGAAAAATGCTACTGCCGCTGACCAATCGAGAGAAAGCTTGAAAAGCTCCGTAGTCACGCGCTCTCGAAAACTGGGGAGAAGCGTCTGGTGCTCGGTGACACGTACAAAAAGAAAAAAAAAAAAAAAAAAAAACGGCGTGTAGTCCCGAGGGGGTGAGGGTGAAAAATATACCTCGCGGATAGCGATCGACGCGACGATTCGAGTCCCGGAAAGGGAAGGTGCTTTGTTACCTTCTTTCATTTTTTTTTCCTTTTTTCCAAGGGACGAGGAAAATCCCAAGGCCCACGCGCATTTTTCACGACACCCGCTCGAACGAGTCTTCAATGCGTCGCGTATAATGAAAACGAATTGAAAAAAATGCGCGAGGCGATCAATCAATACCGAAGCTAAAAGTATTTGTACGTTTAAAACTTTCGTACTCGTAAATGCCATAAATATAGGTAGATATGCAATAGAAAAAAAAAGAAAGTATCGTTTCTCTTCTTCTTCTTTTGTTTTTTCTTCTTCTTTCACGAGCATAATACATGAAACTTCCGTAAACAGCGTTTTCGACTGAAAATTAATATTCTAGACGAACGCGAAATGTGTCGTTCCCAACTTTTTACCGAATCAATTTGGGAAAATAAATCGCGGTAAATAAAGTACGGTATACGGGGTTCAATTTATACATCTGCATATATATAGCCCCCAGCTCTCCTCGCAAAACAATATATGCATTATTTCCCTCCGTTGCGTTTCTATACCTCATTTCCGCTCTCGTAGCAGCTCATTTCGCTGCTGCCGATCCTGCTCCGCTCTACTTGTACGGATAAACACACAACTGATTGAAACGCAGTAGATTCCCGAGAGGCGCGCATTTAAATGTCAATTTATTCGAGCACGAGCTTCCCGCCTGAAATATTTTTCTAATATACATATACGGAGGGAGGCAGGGCGCATCGGAGCTTTGCACCGAAGCGTGGGAAAAATCAATCGTCGTCCCGGCAGAAGCGAGAGATTGCGCTTATCGATATCCGAAGCCAGTCGCGCGCCACTATCACCCTCATCCCCCTCCCGATCCAGGACTTATCATCGGACTTTTCATTTATATTTGCTTGGCTGGGTGTGTCTACTTCCTCTTCGTTTTCCTATACCTTTTCTTTTTTTTTTTCCCTGATAGGGAAGATGTATTGCCCGAGGGATGCTGCTCCGACGAACGGGGAGGGATAAATTAATCCGGAGACAGAGGCTTATACTTATATGGCACCGAGAATCTCGTTGGCTTTGCGCTTTTTTGATGCCGTTGGCTATGTATTAAATTGAGTTTTGAGCAATACTTTGTACACACTCCGTTGGATCTACAGCTAAGGTGTAGTTTTATGGATCCCAATATGTATACCCAACGTTGACATTGTGTTCAAGCCTCGGACAATTACTTCAGAAGAAAGTATGCGTGAATGTGGACCAGAGTAACGCTCCCCCAAATAACGAGTAAAAGGAGAATAAACACGCAAAAGTCTTTATTATTTCTGATTCTACTAGAATAAAAAAATTTCACATCGAGTATTCGTTTAACGCACGCAGCGATTCAATGTAGAAGCGACGCGCGTCTGATTGATTAATATTTTGCAGTGACGAGGATGAAAAAAAAAAGTTATTAATAAATTGACACGGGATGGATGTCGAGTAACGTTGATTGCATTTTTTTTCCCAATTTAATTTAACGTTACCTCCAGGGGATGAAATTCCTCGACAAATGCCGAGGTGCTTCGCACGCGCGGAATGTATGTTTCTCGGCCTGGTCCCCCAACCCCTTTGACGCTGTGTCCTTGGAGCTTCTCAGCTGATGATGCTTCTTTTCGTGTGTGCAGGCAAAAATATATTTTTTGAAAGCTCGACAGAGGAAATACTTTGGTTCGGGAACGAGATGAACAAACTCTCTGTGAGCTTTGAAATTTTTTTTGTTCACTGCATTGTGTGATTTTCGATGCTGATCGGTGTTGTTACGTGGGATTCTAAAGGTTTGGGGTGCTTAATAACAACGCGGCAGTTAAACTCAATCAATCACTTTATTGCTGTATTCCTTGAGGGAAGGCGCTTTGCGGTCCCGAGTTACTTATTGCGACTATCCTCCTTCTAGTCCCGACGTTCAAGAGCCCTGTGGCCACTGCTGCGGGACTTTATATGCTCTTTCTTCCTCCACTTGTGCTCCTTCCTAATACTAATAGCCGAGGCCCATCCCACGTAGTATTTTCCATACTGTACGTGACAGTGTATTACATTTGAGTCGAATTGAAAAATTGACAGAATACAGAGAGGCTTTTGAACGAATGAAATTTTTTATACATGAAAAAAAAAAAAAAATGCTACAATCATCACATGTAAACGCACAAGAGAAAACAATTGTTGTGATTTTATGTATATTTTCACGTTCAGAGTCGCATCGACAATAATTCTTGACACTTTATTTCGAAATTTCAACTTTTTTCGTTCGTGCTTGACCGCAGCTGGAAACTCGGATTCGACACCCGACCCGGATCCAGCGTTGCATGCACACGAATATCATACAAACGATTGTATGAGAAATTCTACAAAAAACTACCTGTTAAAAAATCTAATAAAGTTTGTTAATTCCTCTTAATTTTTAACCACCGTATCTTTTTTTCTGTTGTTTTACTAATTTAATTTAAAAAAAATTTTGTCAAAATTGACAGAATTTAATA